ATATATATATATATATATATATATATATATATATATATATATATATAATAAAATAAACTACTTCTTACTACTTGTACTATTTCTATTTCACGGTTTTTCACTTATTGCGGGGCTTCGGGATACAGATCCCGCACGATAAACGTGGGGCTACTGTATATCTAAAAAAATAAAATCTTGTGAAAAAGTTCTATATTTTTGACAATTGCTTCAAAAAGTGAAATTCATATATTACATACATTCATTACACATAGAGTTAAATATTTTAAGCATTTATTTCTTGCAGTTTCTAATGGTTATGGCTTACAGCTAATGACAGACCCAAAACTCAGTGTCTCAGAAAGTAAGAACATTTTGATAACGTTCCATATTTACTGTCCGGTTGTTTTTCTCCTCAGCCAAGGTAACACGCAACTGACGTTGTCTCTGATTCAGGAGTGACTTGACTTGAGAAATGCCACATTTGTAACCAATGTCCAGGATACGTCTGTGCATAGTGTGCACGAGTTTCCAACATGGAATTTTATCACAATATTCAAATTTTATGAGACATTGAGTTTTGTTTTTTCATTATTTTAAATTTCAAATAATTCAGGGCTGCATGTGCCATTGATGACCCTCGGTGTCTGGCTTGTTTGTAATTTGTTAGTTTTTGATCTGTCATACCATATTTTATAGTATTGTTTTTTTATATAGTAGGATTCAAAAAGTGTTCAATACAAAAACCACTGGACTTTATTTGTAACAGAAGACGTTTCGCTCCTCATCCGAGGAGCTTTCTCAATTCAAAGAGCAGAGAGTGAGAGATACAGGTTATAAGGCTGAGTGAGATAAGACACACACACATATGTAGATTGGCAGTTCACACCTAAACACCTTAACAGTAGGTCTTTGTTCATCTAATTTACAGACGAGGCCCCTCTGTTCCCATCAAGTGTGAAAACCGGCTGGGAATCTGTTTTAAAGTTGCATTATATGTTTTTGAACGTGGAAATCTGAGGCCTCCTCCTCTGTTAAGAGACTGCTTTTCTCTTTTTACATAAATTGCTTCCTTCACCCCCCTCTCAAACCATCTGTGTTCTCGGTCCAAAATGTGCACATTTTGGTCCTCAAAAGAGTGTCCCTTATCTGTGAGGTGGAGGTGAACAGCTGAATCTTGTCCTGAGGAGGTTGTTGTTTTGAGTTGTTTTTGTATTGAACATTTTTTGAATTCATCATGTCCTGGATGACTGAGAATCTTCACCAGCATATTTCTATAGTAGGCTACTGCAAAACAGTTTATACCTGGCAAACAAGTCAAGCAATATGTTTACAAATTTATTGGTTTGTCTTGTGTTTTGGACTATATGGAGCATTTTAACTGCTGAGAGCAGGCCGTTTGGATACACGGAGCAGTGGATTACCTACTCTAACTACCTGCTGACTTTTCAACAAAACAACACTTCTCCCCCAACTCTTTTCCACAGCTGCCCTGAAATAACCCGGTCAGTAAATCAGCCAGGCAGTGGTACAGCTAAAAAAGAAAATGCGTGGATCCAAAGGAGGAATATGGAACTGGCTTAAAAAGAGGGGCAGCCGCTTCCCTCTCCCGACAATCACGCTTTCCAACATGCGTTCAATAAGGAATTTTTAATTCAGTCTTTATTTCTACAGGTTAATCCCATTGAGCCTCGGGGACTCATTTACAAGAGAGACCTGAATAAGATGGAACAACTATCAGGACTTTTGAGATATGATAGAGACTTCAGGAGAGCCAACCTTCTATGTTTCACTGAGTCCTGGCTTACGGAGATCGATGAAGTCTCTGACTTGGAGGGACATACGACACTGTTTCAACAGAGACACACAGCACACAGAGAAACACATTGGAGCTGAGTTGTGTATGTTTGTGGATGACAGCTGGGCGGCAAACATGACGAGCTGTGAGACTGACTGTTAGAAACTCTATGAGATAATGACTATATATTTTCGCCCTTACTATCTGCCCCGCGAGTTCGGACAAACCACTGTTATTCTGGTTTATGTGCCCGGCCCAGACTTCACTTTAGCAGCCGAGTGCCGAGTTCACTGACAGCTACACCAAGGCGCAACGTCACTCTGTGGATGACCAGATGTTTCTTCTTGGCGACTTTAATGGTTGTGATATTCCCACTTATCTCCTGAATTTAGAACAATATGTGACTTGTCTGACACAAAAAGACAAGATTCTTGATAAATGCTTTGGTAATTTGGAGGGTGCTTACGTGGCCAGGTGTTGCCCACCCCTCGGCCAGTCTGACCATAACATTATTCACCTGCTGCCAAAATATCGTCAGAAACTGAAGAGGGAGAAACCTGCTGTCAAGACTGTTCAGTGCTGGACAACAGACTTGATGAGCTGAGGACTTGTTTTGAACTGACTGACTGGAGCTTGTTCTTCAGCGAGGAGGTCTCTGACAACAACTCTGAACTGCTGAACTTTACCATCACCAGTTATATAACATTTTGTGTGGACAATATTATCCAAACAAAAACAGTCTGATTTTACCCTAATAATAAACTTTGGGTCAATAAAGAAATGAAGCATTTTTTAAACCAAAACAAAGCAGCTTTTAAAGGAGGAGATATGCAAAAGATGAGGGAACTAAAGAAGGAAATAAGTTGCATGATTAATTCAATTCAATTCCGTTTATTTATATAGCGCCAAATCACAGCAAAGTTGTCTCAGGGCACTTTACAGAAACATTCTCATAAGAGCCAATTAGTAAAGTTCTCTATCTAAGGAATCCAGCAGACAAGTTGAATCTTGGCTTCGTTACAGTCTCCCATCCTGAGCAAGTACAGTGGCAACAGTGGAAAGAAAAAACTCCCTTTTAAAAGGAAGAAACCTCCAGCAGAACCAGGCTCAGGACAAGCAGCCATCTGCTTTGATCAGCTGGTTTGAGAGGACAGATTGAGAAAGTTAAAATAAATTATAAAGATAAAGTTGAGAGGGAACTGAGTATGTGTCCCTGTGATGGACTGGAGACCTGTCCAGGGTGTACCCCGCCCCTCACACAGTGATTGCTGGAAATGGGCACCGGCTTGGGGTCATGCCATGTTGTGGGTCGGACAAGAGAAAGTCCACCCCCTCACCCCACCCCCACATGAAACTTCTCTCAAACACCATGGAATGATGCAGTAACAAGGCGCTGCCTTGCCGGATGAAACGTGGTCCTGGAAAGACATCCCTTCCTGTGACAGTGTGAACCACGGGTCTTTTGCATCATATACATCATTTTCAGGTCTCTCTTGTAAATGAGTCCCCGAGGCTCAATGGGATTAACCTGTCTAAATAAAGGTTGAATGAATATCCACCTAGTAATGAGATATGCTGCTCCTGGTAGGATGAACCATCTTCCTTCTGACAAAGACCGACTCATAGTGCCAGCTTAGTTTTAAACTTTTTAATTTAGTTCACAAACCTCAGACAAGTTTACCATATTTTAAGCATTAGTTCCAAATTTAAATAACATCTGTCCTCAAAACAAAAGCTATTTTTCATCATTCATCTTCTCTGATATTACTGGTTATACATTCATATGCAGCTGTGGCTGAGTGGTTAGAGCAGTCGTCCTCCAATGCGAGAGTTGGGGGTTCGAATCCACCAGCAGTCACATGTCGAAGTGTCCCTGGGCAAGACACTGAACCCCTCATAGCCTCTGATGTGTGTCCATCAGTGTATGAATGTGATCTAAAGCACTGATTAGTCTCATTAGAATGATTTGTTCAATTATCTTTGTAGAGATCTAGTATAGAGCTGTATGAATGGGTAAATGAGGACACAGATTGTAGTGTAAAGCGCTTTGAGTATCTTGAAATAAGATAGAAAGGCGCTATATAAGTACAGACCATTTTATTTTAACACACTTGTTATAATTCACAATTGTCAATAAAGGTTACATGCAAGGTGACTTTAACATAAACTGTTTTTGTGTGTTCCAATTCATAAAGGGAATTACAGCATAGTAAAGAATTTGTTGTTTTGATCAGGGATTGGTCCATTTATTATTTTAATTTTTGACCTTTCCTCTTTAATATTAATACATATGTATACTTCTACAAGTGATTGACAAACATATTGAACTTTTTCCACAATATTCTATTTTTTATGTAACTGTAGACATGGGCTAAAGTCTACATCAGATTAGGAGAGAATTAGTTGCACTCTGGCACAGGTTTTTAGATAAGAAAATGTATTATTTTGGACAATTTTAATGTGGTATCTGAAACGTAAATTTAATCTAAATTAACATGCTTTCAATTTGATTAGACTGTTTCATTGCCAAAGTTCTAAACTTCTGTTTGTGCTTTTTGATCTGTAGAAATCTTTCTGTCATCCAAGTTTTAATACCTAAAATACAATTAATGAGGACATCAACTGGTCAAGGTGATGCAGCAATATAAAGTTGTGTATCATCTTTTTTTTAGAAATACAGTATATCTCGTTTAACTCTGAATGCTAGGATATGCCTTGGTTTCATTTTTTAATATTTTCTTCCATTTCAATTACAATTACAATTTCCTGCAGGATCAATAAAGTTCTATCTTATTTTAACTTATCTTGCTTTCTTTTATGATTGTCTACTGTTGTCATTGTTGTCTATTGTCATCATTCTTTGTTTAAAACAGGTCTCTCTTGTAAATGAGTCCTCGAGGCTCAATGAGACTAGCCTGTATAAATACAGGTTGAATGAATCTGCATAGCTGTGCATATGGATCCTGTCTTTTGATGACTTCTTCAAAAAGCAACATGTAGAGATTAAAAGTAAAGGGACTAAAACGGATCCTTCTGGGACTTCATATATATATATAAATGTGAAATATTTAGATAAGCAGATACCTGTACTTACAAAGAACTTTCTACCTTTACAGAATGAATGAAACCACTTAAGTACACTTCCAGAAATGCCAAGTGAATCATGAATGATGTGGGAGAAGATTTGTGCTACCTGTTTGTGGAGACTCAACATATCTGTCCTCAAAGATGATGGGCAGGCTGTTCCAGTCTCCATCAATGTCAAGGCACTCAACAGGTAATGGAGGCATTTTGGTCAGGTACTCTGAGCTCCGCACCTCTGCAGCTATCTGGCCATGTCTGTTGATACTTTGGGTGCATAGAAAGAAACTGTTTATAAAAACAAATCCTGTAAAAGTAGTTTATTTAAGAATTGATACTTACAGTTCCTCCTGAAACATAACAGAGATCTCTTTGGGATGTTCCGTAAAGAAATACGCTTCAGAGAACCTCCTGACCTGTTGTTTCCAAAAACAAAAATAAACAAAACAACATTCTTTTTGCCATTTCTAGAGAAAAAAATAAGAGCCCAGGTATCCCTTTAAGGAACACATGCCACTTGTCATGACTGAGATTCAGACTAAGATCCTTTTATGTTGAAAAATGACAGAGTTGTAGTTGTTTGGTCAAACAATGAAAAAACATGATATGCAAGCACATAATGCAAACAAGTAATGCAAACATTATATATGTCTATGTCTAGAGCCATATCAATGTGGATATCCTAACTGGACCTTCCTGAAAGCAGAGAAGAAACCCAAACAGGACTCCAGTCAGCCATCAGGTGAAAAGGAGGAACATAGACCCAGACCAGTGGTCATTCTGTATGTTGAGGGAGTATCAGAGAAACTGAGACATTTATTTTCTAAACACAATGTATCAGTGACCAGTGGCTTTTAAACCCAAAAATACATTACGGCAAAGACTGGTTCATCCCAAAGATCCAGTCCCCCGGCACAAACAGAGTAATATTGTGTATGCTGTTCAGTGTCAGGAGGGCTGTGATCAGTCTTACATCGGGGAAACTAAACAGCCACTGGCCAAAAGGATGGCCCAGCACAGAAGATCAACATCATCAGGCCAGGACTCTGCGGTCTACACTCATCTCCAGGCCAGCGGTCACTCTTTCAGGGATGAAGATGTTCACATCCTGGATAGAGAGGAACGATGGTTTGAGAGAGGAGTAAAGAAGGCCATCTTTGTGAAAAGAAATCGTCCATCATTAAAGAGGGTGGAGGCCTCCGTGTTCAACTGCCCCCCTCTTACAATGCTGTTATTGCTAGTATCACTCAACCCCCTGTGAATAGTAAACATCCATCAGTGTGCTAATGATCCATTGTTAGGCTTATGGTCCTTCTTGACCATGTGAGCAGCTGGTTTTGGTTGTCAGCAGCAAACTGGTTGATCCACTCTGAGAAGGTTTGGTATGATGACTTTGCTGGCTGCAACCTGGCTGCACTAAGAAATTTTGTCCATTAAAGTTATGAACAGAATCAGTGAAAATAGGTAGCCCTGACAGAATCCAGCTACCACCCTAAGGGATCCAACTTACTGTTGGTAATGTGAACCAAACTCTCACACCCCTTGTATAGGGACCAAACAGTCTGTAGCAATGGGACCCCAATCCCATACTCGCAAAGCACCCCCCACAGCGTACCACAAAAACCACAGTTGAACACCTTTTCCAAGTCCACAAAACACACGTAGACTGGATAGGAAAATTCCCATGACCCCTTGAGGACCCTAGTTAGGGTAAAGGGCTAACTGGTCCAATGTTCAGCGGCCAGGACGTGACCCGCATTGTTCCTCCTGGATCTGAGGTTCGACCAATGATCAGACTCACTTCTCCAGTACCCCTAAATAGATCTCACCAGGGAGGCTAACGAGAGTTATGCCCCTATAATTAGAGCACACCTGCTGGTCCCCCTTGTTGAAGAGAGGAACCACCATGCCATTCTGCCAATCCAGAGGCACTGCCCCAATGTCAATGCAACGTTGCAAAAGCATATCAATCAAGACAGCTCCACAATAACCAGAGCCTTATCAGGGCAAATCTCATCCACCCCCTGGAGCCGGCATGACTCGGGAGGCAGACGTATAAAATAAAACACTCTTTAATAATAATAAATCAAAAGGTTGACAAGGCAGCAACTTACACAACGGGATCAGGTCAGACGGGACGGGACAGAACAATACCCAACGACGAACCGACAAATGACAGGACTAACAGATCGACTTATATACACAAACAGGACATGAGACATGAGTGATCCAAATCAGACAATTAAAGCAGAACACAAGGGAGTACAGACAGGGGAAGGCCCACTAGATGAAAAGCATTTTTATATCACAACACGTTCAAAATGATGCATCTGTTGTGAGGGGTTCAACCACCCAAACATAGCTGTTTAATTCATGCACTGACATCATTTAATACTTGCTGGCAAACCATGTTTGTTATCTTAAACCTTGGTGTGATATGAGCAGATGTTTCTTAGACAGGAAGGCCTCAAACATCTGTATCCAACATAAACACACTCTTGGTTTTAACAGTTTATAGTTTGTCATATTTGTTTATGGATGTATGTTGGCAACATATTTATTTTTCTTTTTTGTGTCAAACTGAGCCTATGGGCAGCACAGTGGCGCAACTGGTAGAGCTGCTGCCTCTCAGTGAGCAGGTCCCTGGTTCAAACCCTGGTCCAGGGGCCTTTCTGGGTGGAGTTTGCATGTTTTCTCCGTGCATGCGTGGATTTTCTCCGGTTACTCCTATTTCCTCCCACAGACCAAAACCATGCATGTTAGGCTGATTGGTAACTCTAAATTGTCCCTAGAGTGAGTGAGAGAGTGAATGGTTGTTTGTCTTGTTTGTCTCTATGTGGCCCTGCGATGGACTTACGACCCGTCCAGGGTGTACCCCGTCCAGGGTGTACCCCGCCCCTTGCACAGTGATTGCTGGACATGGGCACCGGTGACCCCCGTGGCCCAAAATGAAAGAAGCGGGTAAAAGATAATGGATGGATGGAAACTGAGCCTGTGTTGATGATAAATTATGGTGTGTTGGTTAATTCTTAGTAAAAAACGCTGAGTTGTTTTTATCCAGGCAATTCAAAATTCAGTTCCACTTGAAAGTTGTGAAATATACAGGTTTATATTTGAAATGATGGCCATAAAGTTCTGAATTGAGTCAAAACCAAAGGTTGTATTGGGTTCAACATCAATCGAAAGGTAAAAATATTTATCCACTTGGAGTAATCTGCAGGCCAAGACTAAAATTAAACAAAATAATGGCTCATTCTATATTCACATACGGTGAATAAAGCAGAATGTCTCATGTGTTGTTAACTATTGTGCAATGACCATCTGTGTAAAAACAGTGTTGAGAGATGATGTTGGTTCTTGTCACAACCAGCTCCATCTATGGTCCAATAAAATGTGAGAATTTAGGATATATAAAAAAAAAGCAGAACACAAAGGAGTATATACAGGGATAGGTCCACTAGATGATGCCATCCCTACAGTACTCCCCCCAAGGATGCCCCCTGGCGTTCCCAAGAAACCCTCCACCCCCAGAAGACTAGGGTGGGTGGAGGGAGGAACTGTAAGGGTGGCGGGCCCGAACAAAGACACATGAGGGTCAAAACAAACAGACAGGAACAAGGCCTGGGGACAAAACTACACAGGAAACACAAAAATGTACAGATGGCCAGGAGACCGTCCATCACTAAATCAGAGCAGGTCAGGTGGGTGGCCGGGAGGCTGTCCGATGGGCCAGAGCAGGTCAGGGGGCAGCTGGGAGGCCATCCAGCACGAGGCCAAAGTTCAGGTGGGCAGCCGAAGGAGATGGACACCCTAAGGACCCATGACTGCCCAGTACAGGGAGCGAGGAGTGGGAAGGCCATTGTCTCTGCAGGGGGTGTTGCTCCAGGGAGTATCTGCACCTCAGCTACTGTAGTGGACCCAGGTCCCACTGTGACAGGTTCGGCGTCTTCATTAGCAGGAGCGGAGACGAAGGTCTCAGGTGGGTTGAGGACGATGATCACAGGTGGGTCAGGGACCAAGATTGCAGGCAGGTCAGGGACAAAGACCTCTGGCTGAGGTGAAGATCCCTCAGCAGTCACAGGACCCCCAGGCTGAGGCATGGACCCCTCCGCAGTTTCGGGACCCTCAGGTGGAGGTGTGGGATCCTTGGCAGTTTCTGAGCTGGCTGCAGTCTCTGGACAGCCTGCAGATTCAGGGTGGTCTGCAGGCTCAGGACAAACTGCAGGTTCTGGACAAGCTGCAAGTTCAGGATGACCTGCAGGTTCTGGACAGCCTGCAGGTTCTGGAGACTCTGGTATCACTGCAGGTACTGGAGCCTCTGAGAGCACTGCAGGTTCTGGAGACACTGATATCACTGCAGGTTCTGGACTACCTGCAGGTTCTGTAGACTCTGAGATCACTGCAGGTTCTGGATGACCTGCAGGTTCGGGAGACACTGAGATCACTGCAGGTTCTGGATGACCTGCAGGTTCTGGGCAAGCTGCAGATTCAGAATGAGCTGGAGGTTCTGGATGACCTGCAGGTTCAGGACAGCCTAAAGGTTATAGGCAAGCTGCTGTTTCAGGATGATCTATAGGCTCTGGGTGGCCTGCAGGCTCAGGATGGGCTGCCCCCTTGACTGCACCTCCCCCTGCAAAATTCTCCCCAGTCTCACAGGTTTTAGCTGAGGAGAGCAAGCTAGAGGCTGGGACCAGGAGAAGGCAGAACTTGTCTCTTGGGGAGTTCTGGGTGGAGGTGAGGTGTCAGATCCAGCCCGCACCGGGACCATGGAGGGTGAGGTGGCCGGATCAGTCCACACTGAGACATCGGGACAGGAATCAAGAGACTCAGTCTCGCCGGGCCAAGTGCTAGGAGCTGGACAGGCAAGCAATGTGGGCGGAAGAGCAACGGACCGGTTCTGGTTGCGTCTTCTGTTTTTCTTCTGGTGGCAATGTGGGTGGTGTACGGGGGCGAACCAGAGTTTGTCCACTGACTCGGCGTCCTCCCCCAACTTCCACCCAGAGCAGACTGGGGGGGTAGAAGGAACTGTATCTGGGCGCTGTGTGGTTCTCATGGAGCTGATATCTTCGTCTCTCCTCCTGTAGCAGGAGAGGTGAAGGTAGAACTTCAACCATCTGGCTGTGGTATCCCAGTCCCAGGACAGGTTTGGGCCAAAAAGCACCGCACCGGATCACAGATCCATCCATCTAAATAAGCTCAGGAAGAAAAAAGGTAAGCAGAGCTTAGATGAGCCTGCCTGCTGGGTTTCGGTTTGGTTGGTTCGTAATGTCAGGGTTTCTGGCAGGTTAGGACAGAAAAGAACCCAGTTGAGCAGGCATGACTCGGGAGGCAGACGTATAAAATAAAACACTCTTTCATAATAATAATTCAAAAGGCTGACAAGGCAGCAACTTACAAAATGGGATCAGGTCAGACA